CCCCTCCTCCCACAGCCCCTCCCTGGGATCTCCGGGGGACGCCTCTGGAAGCAGGGAACGGGAACGCCGGGGTTTCCTACTCATTGAGACATGCCCCCAGCTATCTCTGGGAACCCCCCCTGCAGGTTGCCAGGGGCAAGTCTCTGGAAGTAGGGGGTGGGGAGGGGGTGGCCGCCCCTTGTCCCACAACATCAACCTGTGGGACAACGCCCTGGAGATAGATAGCCGAGGGGGTGCGGCCAGGAAGGTGCTCCCCAGGCTTGAGGGGCCTAACTGTGTGCAGGCATGCATGTGAGGCTCAGGACCAGGCCCCTCAAACCCAGGGGAGAGTGTGGGCAGCTCTGGGCTGCCCACGCCGTCCTGCTATGAAACAGCACTGCCTGCGGAGGCAGCTGTTGCTTCGGGCTGCCAGCAACAGGCACAAGGGCACATTCGTTCACCCCCGTGAAGACTGGCACTTTCAGCATCACATCTGCTTTCCTCAACCACGGCCCATTTGGTCGCAGCCCTGGCAGCGGGGACAAGGGCTGCTGCCTAAGACAGCTCCTACCCTTCCCAGGGGCTACCAGGCTAGGGACACAGGCCTGCATTGCCAGGTCTTAAATACAAAATTGTCTTACAGGAAGCTCAAACTATCATATTTTTGGGGAAAAAAAAACTATTGCTCACTGAAAAAAAAAGAAGTTTGCAAATAAGCGGTCTTCTTATTTACTCTATATTCCTCACTTTAACTCTCCAGCCAGCGAGTGAGAACCGGGTCCAAATTGAAGCATTTCTTTATTTCAAGGCGAGCGGTCATTAGGAAGTGCCAACAGCAAACCCAAAAGTCAGTTAACACCCCTTGAGAGCGGTTTGGGTTTGGCTGTGCTAGTTAACTGCCTCAAAAATGATTGTATATTTTGGGCATAAAGGTTATAGCCCTGTTGGTCTAAAAAGCAAAGGCAGTCAGTGGGATAGAGATGACCCCTATTATTATTATTATTATTATTAGATAGTTGCAAAAACAATTCTTTATTTAGAAGTTCGCTTTTTTTTTTCGGGTTGTTATTTCCTGGCTGAGAGGACATTTTGAGCCCCTGTGGTGTTAACTATCATACGCCGTACCAGGGTTGAAGTGATCGGACAAATCATTTGGTTGAATAATTATGGTCCAGCGGACGGGAAGTAGCTGCGCGGAGCCCAGGGCATACGCCGGCGCCAGGCGCTGCGGGCCAAGCAGCGCCCACCCGCGGCTCGTTGGAATCTCCTCGGGCTCAGGCCCCCGAGGTTCGCGGGCGGCTGTAAACTCCCCCACCCCTCGGCCAGGCGACTGGGGGCACCGAATTCGAAGCGGCGCCGCGCCAAGCCGATTGGGCAGCGTTGCAAAGGGCGGGCCGTACGCGTCGCCCAATCGGGAGGCAGAGGGCGGGGCGGCGCTCGCGGTGGCCGACGGGAGCCGGTTGCGTTCGAACTCGGGGGTTCAGGGTGAGTCTTACTGACATCAGCTGGGGCCGCGTGGCGACGGGAGCAGGGGTGAGCAGCGGCCCGGCCAGACCCCGGGCTCTGTGCGCGCGCGCGAAAGAGGGAGATGAATTGCAGAAGGCAGAATGTTCCTGCCATATTTCCAATTTCAAATACGAGGACACTTGGGGTGGGGGCACAGATATGCATGCTCTGCCCCTACCCCTCACTCTCAAGCCAGTCCCCCCAGCCCTACCTGTGCCCCTCATTCGACCTGCTCCCCCCAGCCCTGCAGTGCCTCCAGGCAGTTCCACCCTTGTAAGCCCAGGCACCCACCCTAGAGTCTCCCAAAGACCCCCCTGGAGAGGCAGGGGTGTCCCCTTCCCCGCCGACCCTGGTAAGCCCAGCCACCCCCCCTAGAGTCTCCCACAGCCCCCCCTGGAGAGGCAGGTGTCTCCCCTTCCCTGCCGCAGCCCCAACTCCGGGCACCGTGCTTCCGCCAGGAAAAACTTGGATGCTGAGCATAGCAAAATCCCGGACGTTTGTTGACATTTCAAAAAAAACACCAGGTCAAAGATGGGAGGCCCCAAAAAGAGGACGTATCTGGGAAAAGCTGGACATGTAGTAACCCTTGTATTGATTGCAGAGCATAGTCGTTTTTCCAAAGAGCGTGCTTGGCTTGCCTAAACCATATGTTTGTGTGGCACAGCCTGCAGAGGACAATTCTGTACCTGGCTTCCCAAATCCAAGATGTGGTGTAGGTGCAGTCTCTAGGAGCTAAGTACAGTTTGATGCTCTGTACAGTTGGTTTCACCTGTATCCAGCTGACCCCCGCTTCTGGTTTCAAGGATTTCTGTCATGTTAAGGGTCAGGTTGAATGTTTGAAGTCTTAGGCCCCTGCTGTGTCATGTATATGATGCAATGAATGACCTGGTTGTTCATGTAATAAATTTAGACCAGTCACACATGCAAAGTAATTATTACACAATAAAAATGACTGTCCAGGTCTGAAAAAGAGCCAAGCAGCTTTAAAGTGAGTGCCTGAAAATGTGTAACAACTCTAAGAGCTGGTTCCTATCCAGCTTTAATTTGAATGTGTAGCAGGGTCCTTAGTTCTTTTACAGGGGCCAGGAATTATTTGAACCCATGAGCCACACAGTTTCAGGGAGCTGCTGCAGGCTGGTCCCCATGCCCCCTCCCCCACAACATCCCAGAGCCCACATGCCCTGCAGCTCCTTCCCACCACTAGTGCCCAGCAGCAACTGGCTCTGGACTCATCCTACTCAGGGCAGGGGTCAGCGCTGCACACACAGGTCTCAGCTGGTCCAGAGCTGATCTGCTGCAGCCAGGGTGAGTCCAGAGTAGGCTGAGGCCGGTAAGGGCTGCACACATGCGTCCCCGCTAGTTGTCTTGCGACTGGAGCTGGGACCAGCAGGAGCCAGAAGCTGCTGCTGTGTAGAATTGGAGTCCAGCTGCAGAGCTGTGCCAGCCTCACTGCAGCCCAGGGACAGTGGGACATGCTATGGGCCAGACAGCACCTGGGCGCCAGTGATGGCTGCGGTCCCTCTGCAGGCCAGATCCAGCCTACAAGCCATGTTTTACCCACCCATATTCTATTATATACATAAGACAAAAGAAGCAATAGCTTTGTTTGAGGATGCTTTCATATTCTATGCAGTCACAAAAACCATTAACAATTGGTTCCTGTTAACTGTGGTAGGAAATACTGTCCACCTTACAGCTACCACAAGAATGGATGCTCTGTTTGTAGCAAACCAATTGAGGCATCTGTCTTCAGACCCAGGGAATAGAGAAACAATTGTGAAAGATGAAGGATGTCTTTCTGGCCTCATCCTGTTTCTGGACCATCCTAACACAGAAGTTGTATATTTAGCTCTTCAGGTAATTCCTGCTTTTGCTAAAACTCTTGGTCTCTCTAATTCAAATCAATCCCAGTATTTAGTAAACTGTTAATCCTGTAATAAAATGTAAATCCTGCCTGACCAAGGGAGTAAAAAATGTAAGAAGTTTAGAGCCTCTCTCAGGTAGAGTGCTCCTTTCCTGTTTTCCATAGTTTGATTCCTGCTCTAAAAAAACCCAAACAAAAAAACCCAAAAAACTATGCACGCTTTTGGTAATGGAACTGATCTAGTAAATGTCAGCTAAAAATAGCACAGTGCAGTGCTGCAAGAGAACTCTAGGCTTCACTACAGCCATATAGTTTTATTCATAAGAGCAGCAGATTTTAAACTTCCTGGGAAAAGTGTCTTCTGATTTTAAGAGCGTATCACCTCATCAAGTCGCACAAGGTGTGTATTAACTATGATGTCTTTTAACAAGAGGTTAGAGCCCTCTACTCTAACTACTCCTGAAACCTTCAAGGTCAAGGTTGTAAGGCTAGTTCGAGCTGCCAGGGTCTCTTTAAGACATCCCATTTAGTAGTTTCTTAAACGGACTTTTAAAAGACCAATCTAATTAGAGATCAAAACTACTTCAATCAGTTTCAGATTCCATGGTAGTTGCTGGTGCACACTTATGATTTCCCCCTCGAGTTTCTTGTATTTCAAGTACTTGTGCTGCTTTTCCTGATGATCTTCTCTGGAAAATGGAAGCAAACTGAAGAGGCCTTTTTAATGATGTTAAAATGTTACTTGTGCTAAGTAAACATTTTTTAAACAGTTGCAATTTGACTGGCCCTATTAAAAGCACTGCTAGCTAGTCATCAAAACAATCCACAAATAGTAAAAAAAAATCTACATGGTTAATAGATGTGATTGTACTGGGATAAAAATATAAGGATCTGTATCAGTGGTGGTACCTGTAACTTGCGTGTCATTTTGTAAAAGTGTTGTCTTGTTTCAGATCTTTTCCATGCTCATTTAGCCAGTATATTGTCTCTAATTCCACCCACAACTTTTTCCTGTTTTGCTCAAAGGGGACCGACAGTGATATCGCCACCATTGTTATGCTAAGAATCACTTGTTTAACTTGAAGTAATTGTGTCCATTAGTCACAAAGACATTTGTCATATTGAATATCCTCTATTTTGATTCTTACCTACTATTAAGATCTTGGATGAGAAATGAATCACTGGGAAACAGGTCAGGTTCTTAATTTTACAGGTATAACAACACATTGAAGAGATTCAGTAGAGCCCTCAAGCTTTGTGAAGCTTGTTTGATCTAGTGTTTGAACAAGAACATTGTAAAAGACTTGCCCTTCTGCAAAAGCATGTTCCTAGTTGGTTAGTGGAACTTAATTTCCAAGGTGGCAGAGCTACAGGCTAACTGGATCTTCCAATTTCATGTTATATAGAAACTTAGCACAGTTCATGTTACCACTGTTACATATCAGATCTTTACTGAAAGCCATCTATTTTTAAATGATTTCCCCCTCTTGCAGGCACCTCAGTATCTTTCAGAATGTCCTTCCAACTGTGAAATTGTGACAAAAGAACCAGATATAATGTGGAAGCTGGAGAAATTGCAGAAAAGGTAAATTTTAATTGGTGTCAGTTTGTTAACTTTTTAAGTGGGGTGAGTTGCAAAGATTTCAAAGAGACTACTGGCTTTATGTTTAATAGTCTCTCATCAATTTAAAGTGTTGCCACCGTGCATTAATTAGGCTTGCATCAGTCTGTAAATAACACTGTTTTGAAAAAGTTAAAAGGAAAATGTCTAAGAAGTAACTTGTAGAACTGACATGGGGAAATGAAGGAGTCCTTAAACGAGGGTGTTGGTAGTAAAATAGGACAATGTCAAATGCAGTTAGTTATGAACTGTTAAGAGATGGGTTAGTAGGCCCTGGCCCCTTTCCCAGAAATGTGGTCATGTTCATTTAAGAACTAGCTAGTTCATGCTGCATTTAGTCTTTGAATTTGTGAGGCATATATTTTTTTTACTATCCATTGAAAATGTAGGAAGTGCTGGAAACCATAGGACATTAGTTTGCAATATCACTTAGCCTCAGCGTTTGAAAAATTGAAGGAAATACATGATGAAATGGACAAGAGTAAAAAAGCTTAAAAGGTATAACTAAATGATTTGCATATCTTAGTGCAGAGAGCATTGCCTGAATCACGTCTGAGTTCTAGGTCCCAACAGGAGTAATGCACCCGAAAAAGCAGTCATCCATTGCCGTTCTGGTATACAGTACATTTAGCAGAGCAGGTTCTTTATACACTTCCTCGCTAAACAAGTGAGATACAGCAAATCAGAGAGTCTTTTTCCTGGCCCTTTTTCTCAAGGAAGATTGGATGAGGAAGCAAGAAAAGGAATAGACCAGCTTTAGAAGGAAGAGAGGACACACTCAAGGTGTGGTGTATATAGCAGTATTATAGGTGACTTCATATACCGAAGCAAAGGGCGGAGAGAGTAGCCAGTGTACTGCCTCCTGTTTTTGTGAATATGTTGTTTGTCCTAGAAAAGAAAACAGACCAAAATGTAGAATTATGATCAAAACTATACTCAAGAAGCTGTGGGTACCAGTTAAAGTGAAAGACAGCCTTCAAGAACTGGCAGTTAGAAAGACTGTTATGAATTCCAGTACATTATATGAAAGGCTACTTCTGGGAATGACAAAAACCAAACAGAAAAAGCATGAACATTCCTCCTGGCCAGGGGGAAGAGTACCAGCAGAACAATTTATGGTTTCCTGGTTTGGGGAACATGCAATTCTCCAAGTGGCTGCATTTCATAAAGTAGAGCTTGAAATGTAAAGAATTGACAGAAAAGCCCCCTATAAGCAAGAGAATTGCATAAAGCCACCCATCTTGTTTTTGGGAGCCAGGAAGACTGGAAATTTGAAGATCAAATAAGTGCTAAAGGGATGCCTTGAGAAGTCTGCATAATCCAACTTGTTTCTTTAGTGAATAAAATTTCAGTGGTTATTTCTAAATTATACAGCTAGAGAAGTGAGTTTAGCTCATGAGCCACTAATAATTCCATCTACATACTCTCTACAATTGTAGCAGTTTTAAAAGGTGTGGTAGAACCGCTGCTCCAGAGTGTGTAGGTGCATCTAGAAAAATAAAATCACTCCAACTTTAACCCAGCTGCATCCAAGATCAAAGCTAGGGTGATTTAGCTCACTTGCATCACAACAGGGTCATGTACATCTAACAATTATAGTGCGCTCTGGAGCAGCATCAGCTCCTCCTTTTTTGAAGCCATTATGAATGTATATTTGTCCATGGAGTTAAGTGTACTTACAAGTGGGCTATAGGAAGAAAGAAACCAAATACTTTTTTTTCCTCCCAATTGTTTTGTTTTTCCCTGTAGACATGACACCAATGGCAGTCTTCAGCTTCTAGCAAGAGAAGTACAGAATGCACTGAATACATGTTTTTATATCAGCAATACACAATGTACTCCACAAGTATTTGATAACAAGTTCAAAGCAGAGTTTTTCCTGAACAGCTCCAACAAGACAGCAAAGACCATTACTCTTCACATTGAAGGACTAGATAATGTGGTAGGATCCTATATGTTATTCAGCATCTTCTGATCCAAGCTGTAAATAAGGTTATCATATCACTACTTTTGTTTAGTTGAATTGTTCCTCATGTGGCTTCTCCTAAACCATGTGAACTGCAGTCTCCATCAGAATGTCAGCACAAAGTCACAGCAATGACCTTCCCTTTGCTATGTAATCTAGGATTACTTCCTTCACACTGATTTTGGGCAACTGC